GCAAAAACATAAATTGTTTGGAAAATTTTCCATTCAACGGTTAATGATCGCTTGATTGACAGACAGACAGAACCAATCACTGACTTTTTATGAGTCTAGCCTCCGCCTGCGCTTTCATTTATCAATGCATTCTTATCACACAAGGGAATTCTTAATAGTCCGGGCCCAGCCATTGCATGCATGCATAATTGTAGTAAGTTTATTGGGCTAGGCCGCTGTATATCTGTCGCAATTGCATAAGTATTCGTTTAATTGCCACAACAATGCGAGAAGAGAACTCTTGTTTAATGTCAAACTTTGAAGAGTGACACGCTTCGTGATTTTTTCTCTAAAACCCAATGACCCAATTCTATTCTGTAATACAGTAATAATAATCATCAACGAGCAATGCAATTAAATAATTCTACTGATAAGGAATAACAATAATAATAACAATAATTGCAATAAGGCAAGAGATGCATTTGTTTACAAATAGAGTGTAAATTATTGGGAAACAACTACTATTAATCTATTATGAAATAATAGGTAATGAGTGTCATTGTGGGATGAGCTGTTTGTCAAACACCCAACTTGTTGGAAGGTTACACACGTGTGTGACATCGTTCATCAGATATTCGTTTAATCTTTGTTCATCTATTGCATTTATTTTCCATACTTTTCTAATTTAGAAATAATAATAATCTAACTATGGTTTGAAAAAGTTCTATGCAATTTAAGGAAAATCGAAATGCGCAATAACTACTATGCCTCTATGCCGGAACAAAGAAAGAGTCTCGTCAAGTCCATAATTGCCCATACAGATAAGCCCTTTTACAATGTGCTTACAAATTAATTCTTATGTGAGGAAATGTACAAGTGCAACAATTATTGTCAACCTATGGAACAAATTCGCATTATCAATAAGTATCAACAAGTAGTATCAGTCGGTTTGAGTGGTGGCTTTTTGAGAATTGGTGGCTCTTTCCGAAACCTTGCTATTCCCTGCATTGTCCCCCTGTAAACATTACCCTCTTTCACCGGTGATAAACAAACGTTGTTATACCCTACAACACTATGTGTTGGGGGTATTATACGTTTGATTGGGCCAAAAATTATGTAACACTACGAGATATTATTGGTCCAAGACATAGGAAACTATATAACTATATATTCATATCTCGCCGAGCTGAGTCGAGTATGCCCCGATCCTTAAAAAAATTGTATGGAGGAGGGGTTTAGACCAAAACAGAAAAAAATTCATGATTTTGTAGTTGCACTAGAGGTCAAAATTATAGACCAATAGACTCCGAATTTTGCATGGGGCTAGTGTTTAGGTTTGGGCAGAAGACTAAAAACTTAAATGGTTGAAGGTCGCAATTATAGTCCGATCTTCGCGAAAATTTTGCAGGGTTAGAATCAGAATTTGTTTTTGAAGATGTTTATTTAGAGGTTCAAATGGACCAAAAAATTACTGATTTTCCAGTCGCTCTACAGGTTACAATTAAAAACCAATCGATATGAAATTTTCCATGTTCTTAGGACTTAGTATTGGATAAAAGATCAGAATTTTTGAGGGCCATTGGATCATATTTATATGAAATTAGTTTTGAATACCTATCAGTACAACAGTGAGGGAGAAGCCTAAGGTAGTATTTGTGTAGGACTATATGGTATTACTTTAAAAACTCGACTAAAATAACTTTGGACCTTAGGAGTTTTTTTCAATATGTTTTGGTGTTGTAGGGTAGCATATGGTTGGCCGCGCAACAATAGCCTTTGCTCAGTTGTTTTGTTATAAAAACAACAATCATATTTTGCAACAACAAAGTAAATTATTTTCTTTGAAAATGTTGACCTTTTGTGTAGAGGAGTAAACCGATATTGCCCAACTTCGATCTCAATTAAAGTTCGATAATAATATTAAGTTTGAGGGTCATAGGATACTTCCTTCCAGAGTTATCGTGCGCTCCAGCCTGACAGGCGGACTCTGCTAGATTCACTCTAAAGTCCTGAAACAGATTTCATCCAAAGAGAAGGGGGTCTAAATCCGATGAAGTACATTTTAACATTTGGCATCAAATGATATACAGGGTGAGACAAAAAAACTGCAACAAAATCAAACGCCATAATTTTTATATATTTTTTTTAATTTTACTGAATGAAAGCAAAAACTGTCGGAAATAGCTTAAAATTTTAGGTTAAGTTTAGATTTGTTCGAATTGGTCACCTTTAGCATGAATTATGGCCTTTAAATGGCCAATGAAACCGTCACACGCTGTCCGAATGTTGGTCTGCGTTATTTTAGTCCATTCCCGGCGAAGCGTTTGCTTGAGGTGATCGACACTTTGGTATTTTGTAGTGACATCATTGCTCCCCAAAATACTCCAGACACAATAGTCCAACGGATTGGTATCCGGAGATTTTGGTGGCCATTGTGCACTGGAAAAGAAGCGAGGAACCTCATTTTGTAACCAATCTTGGGTGGCGCGTGTTGAGTGCGATGGTGCTGAGTCCTTATTCTGATGCCATGGTCGATTAATACGAGCGGAGGGCGAATATCGGCTGTTATGGCGGCCCACACCATCACCATGGCCCGCGCTTGAGTTCTGGTGGCCAACCGAAGGTGCACATTTACAGCTGACCTCTTTCGCAAGTAAACACGATCATTTTGTTTGTTTACAAACTGCGGGACAACGAATGTTTTCTCATCGGAGAAAATAAAAATTTTGAGGTCCCCACTTTCGGCCAAGCGAAGCAACACTTTAGCTCTTTTGAGTCTATTTTCTTTCTGTTGCTCAGCATTTTTTGGAATTTCAATAGCTCTTTTTTCAATATTTTCCGAATGGAATATTGCGATATGTTCAGGTCACGAGCCATTTTTCGGTCACTGCGACGCTAGTTTCGATCAAATCGCTTCTTTACTTTTCGGACCATTTCAGCTGATGTTGCTGTTTTCTTCCATCCACTTCCTTGACGTCGGGCTACGCTACCAGTATCACGGTAATGGGCGAGATTTATTCACATTTAAATGCTGGAGTGCTCTAACGATATCACTTGTGGTTTTCCAGCCAAATATAAGGAAATCACACTATCACGCTTGTATTCCATCACGAATAACTTTTTTCTGGAAAATTCTCACCAAAATGCTTTTGTACGCTTGTAAACAATATAATGAGCTGTCACAGGAATAATCTTAACAGCTGTCGGACCATTCTAGATTTGATCTAGATTTTGCAGTCACTCTACAAGTCACAATTTAAAACCAATCGGCACGGAATTTTGCATGACGTTAGGGCTTAGAACGGGGCAAAGGTTAAGCATTTGCGTGACCACCATTGGATCATATTTGTATGAAACTCGACTAAAATATACTTTGACCTTAGGTTAGAAAATGACATTCCGAGGGCAAAGAAAATAATTCAATAAATGTTGGTATAGATGTTTGGTATTGAAAATGGACCTCATTCAATTAGACTCCTAATTATCAGTGGTTCGAAGGATTCGGCTCCGATTTCCAATCTAATTGAATGTAGAATCACTTTGTGTTATAGCCTCATATAACGGCATCTTCTGATTTTCAAAATCTCAAAGTTTTCGTTCCTAATTTCCAACAAAGAAATATGTAGGTCGATGTCCATATCCTCCACCATAGTATGGAAGTTATATAAAGTTTGACATTCCGTTTCTAACACTTCGAAATATAAATTTTAGAAGCTACAAAGTACATATAGTCTCGATCAGCATTAATTTTTATGTCGATTTAGCCATGTCCTTCCGTCTGTGTGTATGTCTGTGCAAATCACTCTAGCTTCCGAACGAAGTAAAGGTTAATCAAATTTTTAAAATTACCCAGATGTTTTTATATCTGCAGGACTTTTGGTATTGAAAATGAGATAAGTATGTCCACGTTTTCGTTTTCGTATAGGCCCTAAATAACTGTACCGAAATTTAATATTTGGTGTAAATTTGTGAACATGTGGTCCCATTATGTGGGAAACATCCTTGCAGGGAACTGTACATGTATGTCCAAGTTTTGGTATATATTCCATATAACTGCACCTCCAGATATTCGGTATTTTGATAATTGTGGGAATTGATTCGAATTTAGTATTTGGAGTTCGTAATAAGTACGCCCTCCTATGACGAAAAAATTCCTCAACAGATCCACGTCATCGTATATCCTACATGTTACGGTACCTCCCAATATTCGGTATTTTCATGATTTTAGATACCTTTTTTAACAGTATTCTTTCAAACTTGGTATTTGGAGTTCGTAATGGGTACTACTGTTAATACCTCCTATGACAGAAAATTGCCTATACAGGTCCACATCTTCGCATAGCTCCCATATATTTGTGCCTCTATAAATTCGGTATTTTGATGATTTTTGCCAAACTTTATATAAGAATTATTTCAAATTCGGAATTTGGAGTTCGCAGCGAGTACTGCTTCCTAGGACAGAAATACAAATTCACGTTCATGTAGCCCCCATATAACGGTATCTCCCAATATTTGGAATTTTGATGGTTCTAGCTAATTTTTTCAACAGAATTATCTTGAACTTGGTTTTTGAGTCCGTAATAAGTACCTTTGGCAGATAATTGTCTATAAATGTCCACATTTTCCTATAGCCCCATATAAGAGTAAAACCTGATATTCGGAAATTTGTGCATTTTTTTACATTTTGCCAATTCCTTTCAAATGGTGGAGGGAATTAAATGTTCGTCCCGAACTTAGCTGATTTTTTACTTATTATTTTTTTTAAATTTGTGTAAAATTAGATGCGTGACAGGAATATGAAATTTAGTTGTTAACGAAAACTGTCGAAGGAAAAAATGTTCTTCACAAAATTTAATTATAATTCTCACAATAAACCCCCCTAATTTTAATTATTGAGTCGCTTTTTTTCTTGTAGTTATTTGTTATTATATTTTTTTGAGTTTTTTTATTATTATTTTATTATTTTTATTCTTACATTTCTAAGACTAATTTTCCAATTGCTTTTTTTCTTTTCATTTCAGATCAACCAAAACGGTTACATTGTCCTCGAAGATTTTCTCACAGCCGAAGAAGTTGATGAACTCTACAAAGCCGGTCGTGCTTTGTGCATGGATGCACCACAAGCAAATCGTAAAGTTTTCGACACGTCCAATCACGAAGATGCCCAAAGCAAGGAGACATACTTCCTCGAATCGGGTGACAAGGTACGATATTTCTTTGAAAATGGTTCCGTTGGAGATAAGGGAGAACTTTTGGTAGATCCCATGGTGGCATTGAACAAAGTCGGTCATGCCCTGCATGTGGAAAATCCTGTCTTCAATAAGATTAGTTTCTGTAATCGGGTTAAGGAAATTTGCTGGCAATTGAATTTCAATAGACCTGCCATCTGCCAGAGTATGTACATCTATAAAAATCCCAAAGTTGGTGGCGAAGTTATACCGCATCAGGACTCGTGGTATTTACACACGGAACCAAATTCGGCCATTGGTTTCTGGTTTGCTCTAGAAGATTGTACCCTGCAAAATGGCTGTCTGCAATTCATCAAGGGTTCACATAAAAGCGGGGTACATCGTCGTTACATTCGTAATCCCGACAAGAATTCCCAGGATCTAATGATTTACGATAGAGCTGCACCCATTTATCCTCATTCGAGTTTTACACCAATTCAATGTAGTAAAGGTAAGCAGAACATTATGCTTCTAATATTTAAGATAGATTTTAGTAATAACATATATTTATTGTCCCCCACCAGGTACTTGCATTGTCATCCACGGCAATGTGGTGCACAAAAGCGACTCAAATCGCTCACCGAAGAGCCGCCACGCCTACACCTTCCATGTGATCGAGACTGAAAATAATGTTAAATATTCCGAAGACAACTGGCTGCAGCCACCCAAAGACAAGCCCTTCCCTGTTTTATTTGAAAGAAAGAACTGATATCTCGTACCTTTGTGTTGAGCTACAATTGTATCTGTGAAATCCCCAATTTTTACCCACACATTACTTTTTTGTACTTCTTTTTTAATTGTAAAATAGCATAACATTTTGTGTTTTTATAAGTTTTCGTTTTCTATCATTTCATGTAGCTTTATATGTTTAAATCAAATAACAAGTGTATTAACAAATAATATGTACGTAACATAGATAAAATAATTGTAATTTTTAAATAAATATATACTGAAAAATCAATTAAAAAAAAACAATCGCAAGAGGGTTGGTGAAATAAGCGGTGCAAACCCTTTAAGAGACTAATAGATGTCGGCGTTAAATATTATAGCCTTTTGCCAACGTTACATGCCCCACAATCCTCCTTTTGCTATCTTCCACACAAAGAGTCAATATTTCGCCAAAGCAACTCTTTTAAAATGTATCACAGATTTTCTGATTGAAATATTAGGTGTGTCTGGTTACTTTTTCTGCAGGAATTGTCCAGCAACATCTTTCTGAGAGAGAGAGAGAGAGAGTAAGGTAGTTTTATTCTCTTTTGCAAGGAAAATGCGAAAAGTAAACAGAGGGAATTCCTGCAGAAGCTTGCAACTAATCAGCTGATATGTCAAAACATTCAAAGAATTAAAAGAAAGGAAGCCCCACCAATTTTACAAGTTCTATAAATATAAAAGGAAATTAGTACTAAAATAAAAATATGAGCAATAAAAGAAAGATAGATTTGATGTGTTCCCAAATAGTCTTGCAAAGGTAACATTCGTCATAAGCCATTACAATATTCAAATGCGAAACTTAAAAACATGGGTTACAATGTAGCTAAAATCATCAACCGTACCGTTATATGGGGACCATACGAAGACGTGGACCGGCACAGACAATTTTCTGTCTTGGGCTGTAGTATCCATTACGAACCTCAAATACCAAATTTGCAACAATTCCGGCGAATAATCCCGCTAAAATCATCAAAATACCGAATATCGAGAAGTACCGTTGTATGGACCGACACAGACAATTTTCTGTCTTAGGCTATAGTATCCATTACGAACTTCAAGTACCAAATTTGAAACAATTCCGGTGAATAATGTCACTAAAATCATCAAAAACCGAATATCGGGAGGTACCGTTATATGGGGGCTATACGAAGACGTGGACCGGCACAAACAATTTTCTGTCTTAGTCTGTATTATCCATTACGAACTTCAAATACCAAATTTGAAATAATTCCGGCAAATAATGTCGCTAAAATCTTCCAAATACCGAATATCGGACGGTACCGGTGTATGGGGGCTATACGAAGACGTAGACCGGCACAAACAATTTTCTGTCTTAGGCTGTAGGATCCATTACGAACCTCAAAAACCAATTTTGAAACAATTCCGGTGAATAATGTCGCTAAAATCATCAAAATACCGAATATCGGGAGGTACCGTTATATGGGGGCTATACGAAAACGTGGACCAACATGGCCCATTTACAAACTTAACTTGCCTACTGGCAAAACACAAATTTTAATTTTCTATCTCAATTCCTTCGAAAGATAGGGTTGCAAAACCGACATACAAATGGACATCGCTAAATCATCTTAGAATTTTACGCTGGTCCAGAATATCAGAATACCAGATGGAGTGGGCCTATAAATTCCATATTCATGCAGATCACTTGTTGAGAGAAAGATTTTGATATATCAAATTTGAAAAGTATCGCTGATTTGTTTCACAAGTTTAGAGGAATATAGGCATAATTTGACCCGGTGTGGGGGAGGTACCGGACAGAATAGTCCGATATATTCCACCTACACACCAGTTCTTGTGTTGATAGACATTTTGAGATGTGCCGATTTTCAAAAGATTCGGATGACTATTTTGCGTTTTATTAGCTGCATGATTATTCATAATTTTGAACCTTTGTGGAGGGAGGTACCAGAAGTAGTGATCCGTTCTATCTGTTCTTCATCTCAGATTTTGTCTTGGTAAAAATATTTAAGGGTGCGAAATTTGAAGACAATCGTACTCTTATTTCATATTATATGAGAGTTATAATTATTAAAAAATAATGGCCCTTTGTAGGAGAGGTAGTTGATGGAGTGGGCCATTTGGCACCTGAGCTAACATGCGACAGATCCTTTTTCTTTGGTGAAGTAAAATATTTTCTTTGATAATTTTGATCTTTTGTGCGAGAGGTACCAGAAGGAGTGAACCAATACTATCCATTTCCAAACTCGATCTAAGTTTTATAATATTATTAAGTTTTGAACGAATCGGATACTCCCTTCGAGAGTTTTCGTGCGCACAAACCGACAAGGCCGATGGACGGACGGGAACCCACAAATCGACTTCAATTGTCGTGAAACGTATTTGGTTTTTGGCCGTATCAAATGATATATACCGTCTGTAGCCATATTGCTGTGGATATAAAAACAATTCTGTTTAATATGTCTAAAACCATAAAAATATTAAATATCCAAAAGTACCAAAACTAAGGCCATATCCAGTTCCCAGTTCCTTGAGAGGATATTTCCAATCCTCGCTATATACAAATTTTCCGATTTACAGCAAATTCGGGTAAAATATGTCAAACCCCAAAAATGTCTTAAATGGGATGGAAACTGTAAAACAAAAATATCGCCACAGTTGCACACAAAAAAGGACCATGTAGTTTGATTTTCCTTTTCTCGCCATTCAAAAAAATTGCAATTCTAACGGACACCGCATTAAAGTGGAAACAAAACAACTTGCCAGCATTTCAGATGCCAGTAACCGATGATAAGTTTATAAATATTTCCAGCAGCCTTAGTTGTTGTAAAGCTTATCACAAGAGGAAAGTTCCACTAGTCGTATAAAAGTATCTATGTTGTGACTTCTAATTTCCCAAAGTTGTCAACAATAAAGAATCATTTAAAAAATCCATGTCATTCTCAGATAACCGCAAGTAAAAGCTTTTAAAATATTGCTTAAAAATGTTAGTTGGCAACGCTGCTGATTAGTGCTGGGCAGTTTTACACATTCCGAAGAGCACTCATTTCGTGATGAACTAGTTCATTCGTTAATTACAATCGACAGTTCAAGAAAACGAATTATAGGAATTATCCACATGAGGTAAACATTTGTACGTTCCCTTGTTTGGCTCAAATCGAAGCCTATTGAAATTAGGGATAATCGGTTCAGATTTGGATGTAAATCCCACATATATCTTCGTCCGATATCAGGTTCATTGTGTACCAAAAGTCCACATGGATTTTGGCACATACTAAAGAATCCAGCTTAGGAGAAAATTTGTAAAAAATTGGGTAAAAAGAATCATTAAATGTCAAATTGGATAAAACATATATCTATAGAAGATATATATTTTATCCGATTTCACATTTAAGCGACCTAAAGCCGTAATACACATATTCATACTGAAAATACCCAAAATACCCAAATGCCAAATACTGTTGGCATCGGTTCAGATTTAGATACAGCTCCTATACACATTCCTCTCTAATTTGATGTAAATGATGCACAATATATTCTACATATGTCCAATCATATTGGATCATACGATCAAGCTCCAACAAAAAAAGCCCTGAAAAGTAAATCTCTAGCTCCCACATATGTGTTTCAACCGGTTTTATATTTAATCATTTGGAACGAATTTGAATTAAAAAAAAAATAAATTTCGTTAAAAATTCTTTTAAAATCCAAAAAATACCAACTGTAGCCATCATATTAGGGTCTAAACGACAACGTGACCTGTATCGGCAACTTTTGTCATAAGCCATTACAATATTCAAATGCGAAACATGAAAAAAAAATCGGTGAATAATGTACCTAAAATCATCAATATAGGGAGGTACTATTATATGGGGGCTATACCAAAATGTGGACCTGCGCAGACAATTTTTTGCCTTAGGCTGCAGCATCCATTACGAACTTCAAATACCAAATTCGAAACAATTCCGATGAATAATAACGCTAAAATCATAAAAATACCAAATATAGGGAGATACCTTTATATGGGGGCTATACGAAGACGTGGACCTGCACAGACAATCTCCTGTCATATGCTCTAGTATCCATTACGAACTTCAAATACCAAATTCGAAACAATTCCGATGAATAATGTCGCTTAAATCCCGAATATCGGGAGGAACCGTTATATGAGGACTATACAAAGACGTGGAACTGCACAGACAATTTTCTGTATTTGGCTGTAGTATCCATTTCGAACTTCTAATACCAAATTTGAAACAATTCCGGTGAATAATGTCGCTAAAATCATCAAAATACCGAATATCGGGAGGTACCGTTATATGGGTGTTATACCAAATCGTGGCCCATTTTCAATACCAAGAGTCCTGCAGACATAATATACATTTGAGTAAAATTTTATCAATCTACTTCATTTCGTTCGGAAGCTAGAGTGATTTTCACAGACGGAATTTTTCGGAATTTTTCGACATAGAATTTTATGCTGATCAAGAATATATAAATACTTTGTGTTTAAAATGTATATTTCAAGTTGTTACAAACGGAATGCCAAACTTAATATCCCCTCCATACTATGGTGGAAAGTATAAAAAAATATATTACTTCGACTTACTAAATTTTTAGTAAATCATTTTGATAAATTAGTTTCGCAACATGACCTCAAATACCGCAACAAGGCTAGCCTTTTTCCAATACTTTTTATCCCAGAAAGGAAAATGATTATACCATTCTAATTTTAAATCCCTTTTAGTAAATATTGTGAACTCTTCAATTGAACTAGTTCATTCGTTACAAAAACCGCAACACTGGCTGATATAACTTGTTGCGATTTGTCTTATCATTTTAATAATATAAACAAATTAAGTAATCAAGTTTAGAACCAAACGACCGACCACAACAAGATAAAGCAAAGCATTGATTAAAATAAAGCCATGAGTAAAGTTGTTAACAACCGTAAGTAAGATTTTATGGTTCATTTAGAAAAGTTTCCTCGAAAGATTCACAACATAATTATTGTTATCATTTTTCGCAGTCATGAGATTGGCCCTGCTGCAGTTGAATGTGTCGAAAGATAAGTTGGTGAATTTGCAACATGCATCGCAAAAGATACGAGAAGCGGTAAAGGAACACAAGCCACGTATTGTTACGTTGCCGGAATGTTTTAATTCTCCCTATGGCACCAAATATTTCCGTGAATATGCCGAAAGCATACCCAGCGGTGAAACCTCACAAACTCTATCGCAATTGGCAAAGGAAATGGGTATCTACATAGTGGGTGGATCAATTCCTGAATTAGATAGTGATGATAAAATCTATAATACCTGTACCATCTGGTCACCGGAGGGCAATCTAATTGCCAAACATCGTAAAATGCATTTATTTGATATTGATGTCAAAGGTGGAATACGTTTCAAAGAATCTGAGACATTGTCGGCCGGTAATGAGTTTACCATTATTGAGGTTGATGGTCATAAAATTGGTATTGGTATTTGTTATGACATTCGTTTTGAGGAAATGGCCAAGGTTTATAGGAATGAAGGTGAGTAGTGTTTTAATCTCCTAATTAAAATTATTTTTAATCTCTTAATTTGTTAGGTTGTAAAATGCTGATATATCCTGCTGCTTTTAATATGACAACTGGACCAATGCACTGGGAATTGTTGCAACGTTCTCGGGCCAATGACAATCAATTGTATGTTGTGACAACCTCACCTGCCCGCGATGAAAAGGGCGAATATGTCGCCTATGGCCATTCAATGGTTGTTGATCCCTGGGCCAAGGTAGTCAAAAGTGCTAAGGAGGGCGAGGAGACAGTTGTTGCAGATATTGGTAAGGAAATTGGAAGTTCAATGGAAAAAATCGAATACCAACATTTTTATGATAGTTACTACGTTTCTGCATTACAAAGAGATCAAAAGCGTAGCATTAGCCTCCAGAGTACTAAAATATCCCACGTGTTATGTGGTGCTTTTCTACCAATTTTCTAATATTTCAAATTAAAAATTTATTTTTCGCTGGTGACCCCGAAATGCTTTTGAAATGTATTTCTATGTACGTCTCGGGAGCTAGATTTCCCAGCAATCTTCTCATTCGGCAGAATATCAAATTCTTTAACCATTAAAAGGGAAACAGAATATTTGACTTGACTATCTTAATGGTTGATCCATTGACATGGATTTGAGAAAATTGTGAACAAGGGTTTAGGTCGGTCTTGAAACCGGGAATGATAGGACACCAATCACATTTGACGAAGAAACAAAGACAGATCCGAAATAGTGAGCTGGCAAAGCACGGATTATCAAACCTCTTTTCGTCGAGAAAAGAGATGGGAATCGAATATCTCACAATAGAATTCAACCGTTCTAGAAGCGTTGGAAAAGGTTAGCACAGTTACTAAAGCCAGGCAATTATCCAAACAAATGTGAATCGTAAATTCCAATATCACTCGTACTGCCAGTAGCAAATCCTCTTAAAGCATTACTATTCGCCTTCAAAAGGGATGGCTATTTAATTGTCAATTATTAATATAGATTTCGACGGCAACGTGGCACCGCGACGGTACTACACACGCCGCATGAAAACATAATTATGATTCTTATACCAAGTGGTATTAGCCTCTATCCGCTTTCCCAATACAATGGATTCAGATTTAGCAGCTTTTTCCAAATTTCCAAAGACCAAGCCTTAACTCACACCTACACACCAACATTGGCCCCCATGCAAAATTTCTAGATTCTAGAGTCACTCTACTATTTTATTATACCCTCGACTGCAGTATGCAGGGTATATTAAGATTGTCAATCCGTTTTTAAAACATTTAAGACCCCACAGTATTCGGTATTCTACTGATTTTAGCTATTTTTCTGATTTATCCACTGGAATTGTTTCAAATTTGGTATTGTTAGTTCGTAATGCGTGCTACTGCCACTGACCGAAAAGTAGGTCCACGTCTTCTTATAGCCCCCATACATAACGGCACATCCCTTACATTTTATTTTTTTCAACGATTTTTTTTTTTTTTGAAAATTTTTAAATTTTAACCTAGTGTTTGAACTTATTTTAGAATCTTATTGCTTTTTTATTAATTTTTTTGTGTAAAAAGATACCTATATGCATGTTCAGGTTTTGGAAGGTGTCCAATATACCGAAAAGAACCAATTATTGGAATCAATCCCACGGCAGCGGGTTCTACGATACCGGATTGACCCGAAACAACAAGATTCCAGTTTCGGCCAGCGGCTGCCAACCCAGTATGTACATGTTTGTGTTTGTTTATTTTTCTGCATTGGGAGCAGCATATCCCGGAATGCTTGCTCCGGATTTTATTGGTCCGTGCCGGGATTGAGGAAAACCCCGGACCTTGGTTCTGCTCGGTTTGTCAGAACGTCATCCACCACAGATCTGTCTCGGTGCGATGTAATGGATGCAGAGAGTGGGTGCACTTCAAGAACTGTTCCGGATTAAGGCGTTTGCGAGACTACAGCGAAAGGGATTATGTTGCGACTTGCTGCAGTAACGTAGTCCCCAGTGAGTCCTCTTCTTCGTCGTCCTCGTCAGAGACGTCGTCGGAGTATGGCACTCCACCGCAGTCTCCAGAACAGCAACCAACACCGCAGCACCTAACGCCACATGTTGCTGTTCCAACTCCGGATTGTGCATCATTCTTGCAATTCAATTGCAACGGACTTCGAGGCAAAATAGATGAGATAGTGGAATTTATGAGTCGGAGGAATATTAAGATCGCAGCGGTGCAGGAAACCAAGCTGAATGAAAATTGCAGCCTACAACGTTGTTATGGTTACAACGTACTAAGGAAGGATCGCACCAGAAGTGGAGGTGGGGGATTAGCGTTCCTGTTACACCATTCTGTTCAGTACAGACCTATCTCGCTTGAGTTAGTCTCTAGTGACCCATACATGGAATGTATGGGGGTAGCAGTCAAGTGTGGAACTGCCGAGGTAGAGGTGCTTAATGTGTATATCCCGCCGATTAATAGCTGTGAACCACGTTATTTGCCTGATATTAGCCCATTATTGGTAGGCAATAACCGCCTGGTACTAGGGGATTTTAATGCCCACCATGAGTTGTGGCATTCCGTCCTAGGTAATGACCAGAGGGGATCAGCGCTGGCAGAGCAGATTGACTGCTCCACATTCTGCACGGTTAACGAGGATGCCCCCACCCGAATAAGAGGAGAGTGTCACAGTTCGCCAGACTTAACCATAGTGTCACCCGGTCTGATAAATGACGTGACTTGGCAACCCGTCATTTCTCTTGGCTCAGACCATCTCCCGATAATCGTCTCCATAAGCAGGTCGCCCGATTTCATAACCTCTGAACGCCGCACTTTCCTTAACCATGGGAAAGCTCACTGGCCAGAGTTCAGAGAATTCACCAACCGCCGCTTCAGAGAACTGCCCAACCCTTCTGATGTTCGGGTAGCAGAAAGGATTTTCCGAAACATCATCAGAGCTGCAGCCGCTCGCTATATACCTGCTGGTCGAATACCCGAGATAAGACCAAACTTCCCAGCAGAGGCAGCGGGATTAGCAAACGAGCGTGATGATCTCCGTCGTACCAACCCTACTGATCCTAGAATCAGTGATTTGACAGTGGAAGTCAACCGGTTGGTACAGGAGCATAAGAGGAAAAAGTGGCTAGACCATCTGAAGTGCTGCAACATTGGTACCGATATGAGTAAGCTGTGGGTAACGGTTAAGTCGCGCTCGAACCCTGGAAAAAAGGATGATAGGACCTCAGTCACTTTTAACAACGTAACGGTGACTGATCCGAAGAGGTGCGCGGAATATTTTAACCGACAATTTGTCGAGCACCCCGAGAGTGATAGGGCGAAGCGAAGAGTACTACGTCGTATCAGATCTCTTCCCGCCGAGGAGGAACCACCACAGTTTACGATGGGTGATGTTGCAAATGTCATCCGTAACGCTAAGTCATCCAAAGCGTTGGGCCCGGACGGAATCTCAATGGTAATGTTGAAGCAGCTGGATACGCCGGGAGTCGAGTACTTAACGAAAGTTCTCAATTTGTCGCTAGCCACCCACATAGTGCCCGAAACCTGGAAAATGGGCCGGGTGGTCCCGCTACTGAAGCCAGGCAAGGATGCCAGTAAAGGCGAATCGTACAGGCCGATTTCGCTCTTGTCGCCAGTAGCAAAGACTCTTGAGGCTTTACTCCTCCCCAGCATTAGAGGAAGCTATGCAGTTGCCAACCACCAGCACGGATTCCGTCCACAACATAGTACCACAACAGCATTACACGCCATTTCCACACATATTAGTAGAGGACTAAACCAGAACAGGCCGTGTGACAGAACAGTGTTGGTAGCCCTTGACCTATCAAAGGCATTTGATACGGTCAATCATGCCACACTGTTTGAGGACGTACAGAGAACTACCCTCCGGCCAAGTTTGAAACGTTGGATAATCAACTATATGTGTGGACGCCAGTCGTACGTGGAATTCCGGAACAAGAAGTCCAAAGCCCGTAGAGTGAAACAGGGAGTTCCCCAAGGTGGGGTGATATCTCCGGAACTGTTTAACCTCTACCTTTCCGGAATTCCTCGCCCTCCAGACGGCATTGAGATCGTAACGTATGCGGATGATTGTACGATCATGGCGTCGGGTCCAGTGGTCGATGACATATGCGAAAGGTTGAACCCCTATCTCGCGGAGCTTGCCGCATACTTCCACGCGAGGAATATGAAAATATCCGCCACGAAATCAACGGCCACACTCTTTACCACATGGTCTGCGGAGATGAGAACACAGCTGAATGTTCAGGTCGAGGGGAATTTAATACCGACCACGAACTACCCCAAGATTCTTGGGGTAACGTTCGACAGCATGTTCAAGTCGTCCGCGCAAGCCACAGCTATCTGCGACAAGATGAAAAGTAGGAACAAGGTCCTCAAGGCGCTAGCCGGCAGCTCTTGGGGTGCGGACAAAGAAACCTTGTTGACCTCTTATAACGCGATAGGTCGGTCTGTGGTCAACTATGCGGCTCCAGTGTGGTCTGCGAATACTAGTGCTACGCAGTGGAAGAATATCCAGACCTGCCAGAACGCTGCCCTGAGAACTGCGACAGGGTGCCTCCTCATGACACCAGTGGACCATCTACATGAGGAGGCGAAAGTCCTTCCCTTACGTCAGCATAATCATATGCTTTCGTTGCAGTACCTGCTTGGGTGTTACCGTGAGAGCCATCCCAACCATCATATGGTGGATAACTCTCCCCCACCCAGGCGTGTCAGGAAGGACATACATGATCTAGAGAGGGAGGTCCAGCGCTACAAGAGAGAGCCTCTAGATCAAGAAGCCTATCAGGCAGGTCTGAGTGGCATTCACACCGATGCAGTCGCGGATGCTATTAGCAGTTATAAAGTGAATGCCGTCCTCGGAGTCCACCCCCCATCCATTGCAGCCGAAGAACGTCAGCTGCCTAGACAAACCAGGGTAGTTTTGGCGCAATTACGTTCAGGATGGTGTAGTCGCCTCAATTCGTATTGGGCACGAATTGATGAAGATGTGCGTGACGCCTGCCCGGCGTGTGATACAGGCCCGCACAATACGCTACACCTTTTTAATTGCTCAGCCAAACCTACCCAACTCACTCCAGAGGATCTCTGGCAACAGCCCGTTAAAGTAGCCGAATTTCTAAACCTGGAGTTGGAACCAGATTAGCAGAACACAAACACACACATGTACTACTGCTACAACAACAACAACAATTATTGGAATATTATAAAGTTAAACGGACATATTGAAGCCATTGTCGCCTTTTTGAAGACATTGCTAGCATTTTAATTCTATTATTACTTATTTTCGCATCGATCGTTATAGCTGTTATTCATTTAATGCTCGACTGAGATTTTTGATGACAAATAATTACTTAAATTTAACAACCTTATCTCTTTACTGCTCTATAGACTGAACTGCCTGACAATGCAAAATTTGTCCGGAATTTTCCGTGCATGTTTCAATTCTTTTTTATGCGTTTCGAATGAAACTATTTATATTTCATTTCAATCTTTCAATTCCATAATTTTTATAAAAACGTTAAAAAATTAAATTGTATAGAAAACATAAATTTTCAATTTTTGTTCAAAATTACTCTAGTGTCACATATTTTCTCTGTCTTTTTCTAACTCCATCAATCTCTGAATTTTATCTTTGCAGATTTCTCATTGGTTGAACAAGTTCGTCAACAAATTCCAGTGTACTCCCAAAGACGTTTGGATTTGTATAGTACCAACAAAAAATGTTAACAATGTTATCTCCAGACTATAATTGCATTTAATTTAATTCTTTTTTGTTTTTTGTAACTGGTAATAATATTGCTTATTATCGTTTTATTATGGCTAAAAAATAAAAGGGACAAATATGGATACAAACAAAAAAAAAAAAACAAATACATTTTGATTTCTTTTTTCTCAATTAAAAATATATAAAACACAATTATATACAACCACGCGTATTTATTTAACTTATTCTACTGGTTTAGTATCACCTGTCTGTTCGCCACCTGCGGAGCTTTGTTGCACCACATATGGTCGATGGGTTTGACCGAATAGAGCTTTAATGGCCTCATCTGTTGCCATTAGAGGTTGACTAATAAATTGCAAAGCCTGTACCGCATATTTTTCTGATTCACACAGAGGCGAAGTGGATGCAGATGAAATGGTTAAATCACCTTCGGGCATACCCACACCCGAATGCAAAACCATTTGTTGTAGAATATTTAAATTTTCCACTGCTAAATTTACAACATCAGTTGCTGGTAAATTGAGATAACGTATTTTGGCTAGGAATTTTAAATTCTTCAACATATCCAAGTGCATTTGCCGCAACTGATGTGTAGTGTGTAGGAGTTTCTTTGTCGATTCGGTTAACATTTGATTTTTCTGTGTTAAATCAGCCTTCCAACGGGCCAATTCTTCTACCATTACACTACTAGCTAAGAATTTCGAACGCCATACTTCACATTGGCCAGCAAGGAATTCAATTTGTTCCGTATGAGTGGTAACATTATTTGCTGTGTCCAATAGGGCGCGTGCCAATTGAAGTTTATCCTCAGTCAAGACATTCACCCGCGTCAATAGATCTTCTCCCACAGAGGCAACGAGAAGATTTTTCAATTCAGAATTGACTTGGGTTTGAAATTTATATTGCCCCTGATAGTAATCCCTCTCGTCTCTGATCTTTTTCAATTCCTCTTTTAATTTTTCCAACTCTTCTGAGTTCACTGTCGTTTTATCTGAAGAAGAATCGCTTTCAATAGATGTTTGTTTTGCCTCACCAGCACCGACATCTTGTAGCTCTTGTGTTCTTATGTTGGACATTTGTGAAACTAGCACACCAATATCCAAATTATTGCGATTTGATTTCACGGATGTATTACCAAATTTTGGCGTAACCGAACCACTACGAGCTTTTGGCACAATGGGATTAACAGCACCTGGATATGGTTCAAAAGGTATAAATTTCGGTGGCTTTGTCTTTTTGTGTTCTGGCACTGCATTTACGGGTTCAACAAGTCTTGGTTTCATCATTACCAATTCGCCCTTAGGAACTACAGGTTTTAAGCTTCTGGTAACGCATTCAGGTCTACGATATAGTGTATGCAAACCGGGTAAAGGCAAGCCATTGTTGACCTTGTTGCTGTTTGAGCAGCTTGATGTTTTTCTCGTCTTTTGTTTATTATCCAAGGCAGCACTTATTGATTCTTTAGGTAGATTGGCTGTTTCAACGTCATTAGCACTGCTGACCTGATTATCTGCTTGATTTGCTGACTGTTGTGCCCCCACTTTCTCTTGCAGATCCTCTTGATCCATACCATCGCCACTGGTCCGACCTACTTTGTAATATATTGACAATTTAAGAATTCACATAATTTATTTTTTATTTTCCACATACCCTTTGCCATCTCCACGAAAGCCATTTGGTTAAATTCTAAAACTTAAATTAGCTACAATACACGAATAAATCCGAATTTAAAAGTTTTTATTAACAACTTAGTTGTGTTGTCGTGTACAAATCAAACGAAATAAATAAGAAAGACAAAAAGGAGTGAACGATGAAAAATGAAGAGAAAACAAAATCCCCGAGTACCTCTCTTGTTTACGAATGAGACATGAGGAAAACGCAATCAGCTGGATGCATTCATTGAATGAGCCGCGGAACTAGTTGCTTGGTGGCTTGGAACAAGTTATGGCAGAAGAATACAGTTAGTCGCATCCATGGTACAATGATATAAAGGTAGGGCTATGATACCATATGATTTTAACTTTTTTATTTTCTTGGCTTAAAATGTCATCTTTATTTGTTTATGTATGTATTTTCTTTTCAATAACAAAAAATCCCAACATACCAAAATGGCTTGAGAATAATATTACAATAAGCTTATGAACATAAGCCTTAATCTTGAGAAAATCTTGAGAAAACATTGAAAAATGTTTGTATAACAAGTATAGAATAATCGAAACGGAACCCTTATTTATAAGCTTATACTTGAAATTGTAGAATAAGCTTACAAAAATAATATTATAATAAGCTTATTTTTGTAATAGTATAAAATATTATTTTTTTTTTTTTTTTTTAGTTTTTAATCATTTTCAACGTTTTTTCTTGATGGACATCCCAGTAGTCACTGCCGCATGTGGCCTTGATACTCTGACGCTTTCTTCTCCCTTATTTGAACTTCTGCATCTCTTCCACTAAGACTACACATTTATTGAATTCCTGCAACTTTTTTGATGCTTCCAATCTGAAATGGGATTGGAATAATTTATGTGAAAGATTCCCGGATTTATTATTCATCCATACCTTAAGGGTTCGGTCCACAAATGGGTCCTAAATTCGCGTGATTTTGTTTTTTGCCAAAGAAAATAATTTCTTGCTGACAATTTTCACAAAAAATCAAAACTAATTTGTCAACAAGGGACAGACTTGAGAAATGTTTGTGGAACATAAGTGTTTCTCAAGCATTGTTGAAAAATTATATTTTTATAATATTGTTCTCAAGCTGTATTGTATTTTTGGTATGTTGGGATTGTTTAGAAAATATTCAAATTCGGATGTTTTCAAAATGTTTATTTCAACGTATGCATCGACAAAATCTAGAGTTTTTGTAGCGAAATAATCCGTTAGAGATATATAGTACATGATTTTGGAAAGAAGTGTTAACCTTTCATTCAGTTATCGCGGTTTTCAATTATTTATTCAAAATAAATGCAACAAGTTGTTTAATTTTTTATTGTTTTGATACTAATTTTGACATTACAAGCCAAACAGGTAGACCTCTATACTTGCAATTTTTTCAAAGTTGACCTACCTTCTCTTCATTGTACCATGGTCGCATCCATGGTACAATGAATTCAAGGTAGGGCAGAACTACCATATGATTTAAATTTTTTTATTTTTCTGGCTTAATATGTCATCTTTATTTGTTTATGTATGTGTTTTCTTTTCAATAACAAAAAAATTGTTCAGAAAACTTCAAATTCGGGTGTTTTCAAAATGTTGATTTCAACGTATGCATTGACAAAATCTAAAGTTTTTGTAGCGTAATAATCCTTTAGAGATATATAGTACATGATTTTGAAAAGAAATTTTGACCATACATTCAGTTTTCGCGGTTTTCAATGATTTATTCAAAATAAATGCAACAAGTTGTTTGATTTTTTATTGTTTTGATACTATTTCTGACATTACAAGCCAAACAGGTAGACCTCTATACTTGCAATTTTTTCAAAGTTGACCTACCTTCTCTTCATTGTACCATGGTCGCATCCATGGTACAATGATATTAAGGTAGGGCTATGATACCATATGATTTCAATTTATTCATTTTCTTGGCTTAATATGTCATCTTTATTTGTTTATATATGTGTTTTCTTTTCAATAACAAAAAAATTGTTCAGAAAACATTCAAATTCGGGTGTTTTCAAAATGTTTAATTCAACGTATGCATCGACAAAATCTAGAGTTTTTGTAGCGAAATAATCCTTTAGAGATATATAGTACATGATTTTGAAAATAAGTGTTGACCTTTCATTCAATTATCGCGGTTTTCAATTATATATTCAAAATAAATGCAACAAGTGGTTTGATTTTTTTATTGTTTTAATACTAATTCTGACATTACAAGCCAAACAGGTAGACCTTTATACTTGTAATTTTTTCAAAGTTGACCTACCTTCTCTTCATTGTACCATGGCATCGACACAGCTGCTGGGACAATGAACTGTCAACTAATATTGAAAATGACAATTTGGAATGAAAAATTATTAAAATTTGGGAACAACTCTAGTTTGGTAAAAACTCTTCTATTTTTTAAATTTTTTCCAGAGGTACTTATTTTCACCCTGATTCCGTGAAACTATTTTTTTCTTGAGGGACGGACCTGGGACCCCAGATTTTTGACCCGAAAGCCCGGTTTCAAGACTAGACCCGGATCAACTTACCCGATATAGACAATATACGGATTGAGAGCTTATGAAAATACCTATTCAACAAGTGTTACATGAGCGGTTCGGAAGTTATAGTCAAATTATTGATTTTTTGGACCTGGTTTTTTTTATAAAATATCCAAAAAGTCGAAAAGGGCCCATTATGGGGGGTCAACCCGCACCGGCTAACGCGAACCCAAGTTTCTAAATTTGTTACTTTTGTATTTCCAACGTCGGCTACGCGAAATAAACCTTTTTTTATTGAAAACATAATTTTAATGAACTGGTTAGATACCTATCACTGGAATAAAATAAAGAAAAATTGAAGAATTTTTACTAAACTCTTCTCATTAAAAAAAAAAAAACAATTTTTTGACACATCAATTTTCCCAAGCTTTGATGCATCGACCTGTATTTTTCTACCATGTGTACAACGTAACATATGTAGAACACATTTCATAGTGAATGTTGTATTTTTTATTTCTCTCTCAACCTGACATTCTAAATATTTACATTTCCAGCCTTTAGAGAAAAAACTACGTAACACAAGCGCACGATGGAGGATGAACCGAAAAAGGTTTGTTTCACAATGATTTCTGACAATAATTAACTCAAATATTAAATGAATATCTTCTTTGTCTTTAGGGCTTGATGCTGTATGGCCGTGATGTTTCTCAGATTCCCTGTTTCCGTAATAGTTTTCTGTATGGCATTGGTGGTGGTGTCGGTATAGGTTTACTCACATTTTTGGCCACTTCCCGCACGAAACTATCAACGCATGTTGGCTTTGGATCTTTCTTTTGTGGGACATTGTCGTATTGGGCATGGTGCAGGTAAGATATGGACCTTTGATATGGTTGTTACACTTTTTTATAAATCTTTTATTTCCTACAGATATCAGTGGTCTGTAAGGCGTTTTGAATATGCCCAATTGGAAAAGGCTATGCGACAGCAGGCCCTGTACGAGGGCACGGAAATCGAAAAACAATTGGATTTGAAATCGGCGTAGTGATAGTATCTCTTTATTTCAGTATATAAAAAAAGTGATTTTGTTTTAATGTTGTTTATTTTTAATATCAAAGCGCGAAATTAAAACTAAGTACCTATTCGTAAAATATGATTAAATATAATTTGTTATTTTAGATAGAACGAGAAATTATGTTTGTAGTGATGACAGTATTAGATTCTAAATAGTTTTAGCTCACTTGTTTAGAGATACCTGATCGGGGCCGTTTTCGTAATTTTTCAAATGGAAAATCATGATATTCGTTGGTTTGTCTTTGTTTAAACAGTGGAGGTGTTTTTAAATATTGATGTTTAGACAACAAAATACTCAACAATTTCAACAATCGAAATATTTTTTTGGTGCAAATTCTAAGTTTTTTAACTTTTGATTCGAAATGTTACAACTGTAAGTTCGGAGGTATTCAAATTAAATTATAAATTTTCGGAAATTAGAAACTAGACTTTCGGTGTGGGAAGTAAGTCTGTTTAATTTAGTGGAAACCGGTTCAGATACAGTTATTACTCTTTTTTTATATATTTCATCCGATTTGACATTTAAGCTCTCTACAGCCGTAATATACACTTCATAAGAGTTATGTGTAATGGTATGGAAAAGTATGGATTTTATTATTATAGAAGCAAGTGTGGTGAAAATCGGTTCAGATAAACATATGGCTCACATGTACATATTTCTCTCAGGATTGTAATATGCATTCCATAACAATAATATTATAATTCTAAGTAATTTTTTCACCCAAATTTTATATAATATCTCAAAAGTAAGAAAATCAGGGTTCAAACACATTTCTCTAGAAAAAATATCAAAAAAAGATCCGAGAGTTTTTAAACTAATGTAGAGTTAAACAAATAATTTTTTCATCTCGTTTTTTATTAAACAACAATTAAACGCAAACGAGCACATGCATACGCTGTAGAATTGGCTGTAGAACCTCCAAATACGAACTTTAAAATAATTCCGTTGAATAATGTAGCTAATATCATTAAAACGATATCATTGTGTCATTACAGAATTATGAGGAATGTTAATTGTCCTTTGTATAATAAGTTTGTGTTTTGTAGATCATCTCGAAATCCGCAATTGCTGTTTCCAAGATTTTCGTCTGTAGTTGGTGAGAAGGCGTTTGTTGTAAGAGTTGCGAGATTGTGGAATCAGCTCCCTCTGGCCCTGCGTAATTTTACCTGTTCTTTTGATATGTACAAGAAGAGGTGCTTTGAATATTTGTCTGTTCATTGAGTTTCTGGTTGCGGGTTATATTTTGTTATTTCTTTTTGTTATTGGCTGGAGGGCCATTTTTATGGTTGTTTATTTTCCATGTAGTACATAATTTTATTGATTTTTTTCTTTTTTAAGGATTTTTTTGCTATACTTGTAGTAGCTACATTCGCTCGGTTGGAAACGAGTGATGATTAGCGCTTAAGTGTATTGATGCCTCTTGCCTTTTTCCTCTCTACCTTGCTAAACTGTTGTTCAGCTTGGTAGAGGAGTTTTGTCTGAGGGTCTAATTGTTACTAAATTTAAATTATTATTATTATTTTTTTTTGTTTGTATATATTTTACTATTCGTTGATAATTTTTGTTATTTATTTAGTTTTTTTAGGATTAATTTGGTTATAGACTGTTTTTATACTGTTGTATGTTAATATAAGATTTTGGCCATGTTGGCTTATTTATATTGAATTGTATGAAATAAATGAAATGAAAATAAAAAATGGTGTTACCGTTATATGTGGGCTATACGAAGATGCGGACCTGCATAGACAATTTGCTGTCATAGGTTGAAGTACCCATTACGATGCTGTCAATTCTAAGCCAGTCGTCCGATAGCTGTTAAAATTATTCCAGTGACAGCTAATTATATTGTTTACAAGCGTAGAAAAGCATTTTGGTGAGAATTTTCCAGAAAAAAAAAATAACACAAGTGGCTATCGTTAGAGCACTTCAGCATTTAAGTGTGAATAAATCTTTTGTGTCTCGTACCATTGCTCGTTACTGTGATATTGGTAGCGTAGCCCGACGTCAAGGAAAGTAGAAAACATCAACATCAGCAGAAATGGTTAGAAAACTAAAGAAGCGACTCGATCGAAACCCGCGTCATAGTGACCGAAAAATGGCTCGTGAGCCGAACATATCGCAATATTCCATTCGACAAATATTGTCGTTAGCTCTCCGCTAGTATTAATCGACCTTGGCATCAGAATAAATGCCAAATATTAGGTGTGTCTGGTTACTCTAAAATTTGTAACAATTGTTACAAATTGTCTGTTAACACGAAAGTTCTTCAAAAGAGAGCGGTTGGAGAGAGAAATTTTGACAGTTCTTTCAGTGAGAGTTTGCAAATTCTTGCTGGACAAATTTCTTATTGCAATCACTTGCAACTCTTATTCTTCTCATTCATCGAAATTCAATCAGATGTTTTCTATTGTTTGTTTAGTTTCAATTTGAGAACAACGTAAAAGAATGTGAAAAAAAGTAAATATTAATATGTAATAAGAAAATAAAAGACTATTTCCAACATTTTTATTTAAAAAACTTGTAAAATTAGTATTGCTTCCTTTGTTTTAATTCTCCTTATGGGGACAAATTGGTTTGTTTTGACAAATCAGCTGATTAGTTGCAAACTTCTGCAGGAATACCGTCTGTTTACTTTTCGCATTTTCCTTGCAAAAGAGAATAAAACTACCTTACTCTCCCAGAAAGAAGTTGCTGGACAATTCCTGCTGGAAAAATAACCAGACACACCTATTATCGCGAAAATATTCTGGAGGGTGTATTAAAGCCTTGGGCACGCAAACATTTTGGCCGCAGACCTTGGACATTCCAACAGGACAGGAGGAACCATCGCACTCAGCACGCCACCCAAGAATGGTTACAAAATGGGGTTCCTCGCTTCATTTCCAGCGCACAATGGCCATAATTTGTGCCAAAGGTGACCAATTCGAACAAATCTAAAATTATACTAAAATTTGATGCTATTTCTGAAATTTTTTGCTTTCATTCAATAAAATTAAAAAACATGTAAAAATTATGGCGGTTGACTTTGTTGCAGTTTTTCTATATATCCTCCATAGAGTGGTGTAGGGTATAAAAATCCAGTAGCAGATGTGCGATGGTCTTGTTCTTTTCTTTATTGTAGTACATCTCACATCCAAAACATTGATTTACAAATTAGTAGTCGACATGGACGTGCGAGTCACCTTAATGACCAACAAATTATGCTGTTATCAATGACACACACCCAATATATTTAATTTCATAACATCCGCCAGGTGGCTACATTAAAGAAAAGCATGGTTTTTTTTCGAAATTATTGTAAACACTTACCAATATTACAATCCGGAAACGCAGTGACGGGAAAAGGAAATTCATATTCGATATCATTTAATGAAAAGAGACTAGCCAATCGACCGAATTAACTAGGATTAAAATTTTACACTCGCGACAAAAATGTACATTTTATATTTTAAACGACGCATTTTGAAACTTTGCAACAACGTGACCACATTTATAGTTTTGTTTTTCTTATTTAGCTTCTTAAGACTTTTCCGTCGAACTCTAAGAGTAAACAATCGTATTTTTTATTTAAAAGTCGTTAAACTGTTGCACACACACGCACCAATGAAACACAACAAAACATTTTTCCATATTCTAATAACATTTGACGTTATTTCCAAATTAAAAATATGAGTTTTTCTTTTATACCAAATTTTCTACAATATGCACCACACAGTAAGAAGTCAACAAAGAAACTATTGCAAAATGTCAACTATTCCGCCAAAAATAAGGAAGCGCTTGTTTTTGTTTTGTCTACCTTATATACCTATGTGAGAACATCATTTGCTTATCTCTGAGAGGATCTATGCCGAGTGGGGGAAATGCTCCAATTATATTAACTCTCATTCTCATTTTTCTCTCAATGAGAACAATAATGACAAGTTTTTAGTTTCTTTGTCGGGTTCGTTATGCATAGACGCGCATTGTGAAATGTTGGCCATAAATCGTTGTAAATAATTATAAAATAATGGAAAGTGATAAAATTAATGTGAATTTTATTTAATAATTGAACATTTCGAGTGCCATTGATGGTTTATATTGTGTTTATGATGTGCGGTTGTGGTAATTCCTCGAGTAGTTGCATTTAAGTGAGAGAAAAAAAATTGTTGCTTAAGTTAAGTCGGTGTGTGTACCTCTGAGTGTGCATGTTTCTGTTTCGGCATGCGTTACACTTTGGAGCGTTTAAAAGTGTTTTTTTTTTTATGAAAGAGAAACAAAAGAAAGCACCCTAATTAAGTTTAGATGCACTATTATTGTTGAAACAATTGTGTAAAACAATGGAAAAATAATAAAATAATCAAGAAATCTAAGTGGTGATATAGTATCTAAATATAAATAATATTTTTATTGCAAATTATTAAAATGACTGTACACCTAATCTAAGGCATATAGAGAAGTTGAAGGCAGAATTGGTAAGTACATACTTTTCCATTTCACTTATTTATCTCTTACTCAATTTGCTGTGTTTAAATGAAAATATTTTCTCCAAACTGGAAGGAACTAAGTTGGCTTTGAAGCATTAGACAGTTGATAAAATATTTTTTAAATATAAATTGTCGCACGTATATTAAAATATCAAATATGAGGTAAAATGCTTTGAGTTCATTCCACGACCCTTCTATCAGTAAAAGTTCTTTGTGACTAGGAAAAGTGTACTAGTAGCCGCCACTATAATTCGTTTGTTATAAAAATTTCGAACGCAAATATGTTATAAAGTTGCATTCAAGTTACTAGAATGTAAAATTCTGTGTAAGCTTTTACTTATTTTTTATTAAACTGATTACCTTTTTAAATTAAATAATTGGAGTACTGTAACTTGCGAACTGATTTTTCTCAATCCAATCTATTTTAGCATGATTCTCCGAGGCATATTTAAAAACATATTTTACGCGGAAGATGTGGTCATATTAAATAAATAGAGGAAAATGTGTTATTCTATGTTATTTTTATACCCTACACCACAAGGTGGTCAGGGTATTATGTCTTTGTGCATTTGTTTGTAACAGGCAAAAGGAAACGAGATAGACCCATAGTTCCTT